TGTTGCTGCTGCTGTTGTTGCTGTTGTTGTTGTTGTTGCGTTAGCAGCAGCAGCAACAACAACAGCAACAACAGTTGCAGTGTTCCTGTCTATTGTTGTTACTTGCTACAACTACTGATACTACTACTACTACTACTACTGCTGCTGCTGCTGCTGCTGTTGCTGCTGCTGCTAGTAACCAAGCAGCATCAGCATTAGCAGTAGGATTATTGGTATCTATACTAGTTATGATCTGCAACTGGTACTAGAACAAGAACAGTTACTCATGCTCCTCCTCTTCCTCTTCCTCTTCCTCCTCCTCCTGCTGCTACTACTACTACTGCTATTGCACCAGCAGGAGCAGCAGGAGGAGCAGGAGCAGGAGCAACAGGAGAAACAGGAGCATAAGTACTAACCTCCCTCCTGAGCTGATTAGCACAATACATAGCAGTTCTTGTTTTAAGTATTGGATGGAAGCCAGCATAGGCGAACCATGCCTCATCAAATAAGAAGATAAGATTATGTTTAATAGCTAAACATTCTTCTATTAATCTTTTTATATTATATACAATACCATCAAATGTACAATTAGTTATAATTAATAAACGTATTTTATTTAATATATTTTTTTTTTTATATATTAATAATGTCCTTTTTATATCATATATAGATACACCACCATATATTGAATATTTATCTAATGCATATGCATCTAAATAACAAGGACGTGCTCCTGTTAATACTAAGCCATAATGATGACTCTTATGGCAATCACGATCTATTAATACTACATCATTAGGACGAGTTACAGCCTGTTATATCAATATATATACACACATTAGGGTTTAGGGTTTAGGGTTTAGAGGGGATAGAGGGTTTACAGGGTTTACAGGGTTTACAGGGAATAGAGGGGATAGAGATAGTGGAAGGGATCGTGGGGAAAAGGGAGGGATTCTGGGGAAGGATTTAGGTATATAGGTTATTATTAGGGTTTAGGGTTTAGGGTTTAGGGTTTAGGGTTTGGAGGGTTTTTGAGGTGAGGCGTTGTGTTGTGTTGTATTATACATATATACATATATATATATATATATATATACATATACATATATACATAATAGGTAAATATATACATACATATGTATATATTCATGAATATTCATATATATATTCATATATATATTCATGTATATTCATGTATATGCATATAGATGTGTACACATATACATACATATAAATACATATATACATATATATAAATACATATATACACTTATATATATACACATATATATATACACATATATATATACACATATATATATACACATATATATATACACATATATACATTAGACATACAAGTAACAAAGAATGCATAATGTGTATCATATATGCTCTTGCTGCACTACTTGTTGTGCATAAAAAGGAAGAGAACCATGGATATAAATAGATAAATAAATAGATAAAATAAAAGTAAATAAATAAATAAATATAAATACGCACCTGTATAACAATTTTATTAGAGGTAGAAGTACCATTAGTAACAAAGAATGCATAATGTGCATCATATGCTCTTGCTGCTGCTTGTTGTGCATAAAGAAGAGAACCATGAGGATCTAATAAAGAATCTAAACCTCCACAAGTAGCAGAACTTTCTGCATAAAATAATTTATATCCATAAAAAGAAAAAAGGAAAGAAATCCATTTACTAATTTTTATTGAATTACCCCTACTTATAGCTAATGCATGAAATACACCTATAGGTCTATTACTATATATTCTTAATGCATAAAAAAAAGGAGTAAATAATTTATTATTTATTCCTTGTATAATTGATTCATGTAGATCATAATGATCATCATTTCTTATAAATATTCTTCTTATATGTTTATTTATATCTATATTATTCTCCTTTATTAATATATCCTCTATTATATTATTATATATACTTATTATTATATATATATCTATAGATCTACGTATATTTATTATACTATTTATTATTGTTATTAATTTAGGGGCCCCTAATCTTATCTTATTTAGGGGCCCCTCTATAAATCTATCTATACCTCTAATATAATATTCTAATCCATATAAACAGGGGCCCCTTTTTTTTTTTTTTATATTATTATTTATTTTTTTTTCTTCTTCTTTTCCTCCTCCTCCTCCCCCCCTTCCTCCTCCTCCTTCTCCTCCTTCTTCTTCTTCTTCTTCCTCCTCCTCTTCTTCTATTGGTATATTATCTTGTATACATACAGCTAATATATCAGGATTTACTATTATTGCTAATAAGGCATTACGTATATTATTTACTTGTACTATTTTATATCTTAATTTTCTTCTTTCTTCTTCTCCTTTTATTTCTTCTTTCTTTATTATACACCCTAATTCATATGCTAAATTTATCTTACTTTCTTCCTTTAGGTATACACAAGGAGGTACTAATACTAATACATAAAATTCATTAATATTCTCTTCTTTCTCTCCTGTATATATACATATACATATATATATATATTAT